AGGGTTTAGGGTTTAGGGGCTAACAGTTCGAGAAATGGACCGACACCGGAATGTAGAATTTGAGTACGAAAGAAGCCTGAGAAGCAGTTGAAGCTAAAGCATCATGCTGGGAAAGCAGAACGAGACTGCCACTTTGGGACGTGGAGCAACAGACAGACCAGGCGCAAGCAAGCAAACCACCGACCGAAGCCTGCAACCCTGAGGCAAAGCCCCAATCCCCAAGGCGACATGCCGAAGCTGTTTTCTCACCATGGGACCACGGGAGCACAAGCCTTAGGGTCCCAAGCAAACTCGCTGTAGCGCCCTCGGCGTTTGCTCTCATTCTCCACCCAGTTTCTGCAAGTCTCGTTGCCACTTGTCATCAGCCGAATCACGGCTTTCGCACGCCTCGCTTTGGCTTTGTTGCAGCCTTGGCATCCGAAAACTTGCACTTGTTTGTTCGCGAGCTACGCTTCCGGAAGAGCATTGGAGATTTCAGTTCCAGAGATTTCCACATCACAGTTTGAGCAGCGGACATGTGCAATCTGCAGGTCAAGGTCACTAGGCAGTAACCTTGAGGACTTGGCGTGGTCGACAGCACTTCCGGTTCACGCATTTAGGGTGGACTTATATGGGTACCTATCTAAATTAGGATGAGTTGCAGAGTCCTTTTGTTGTATAAGGGTGGCATAACGTGCCACACTATTTTTTGGAGCTAAGAAGGGACCCTAATCTAGAGAGCTACCCATATACGATTTGTTCATAGTAAACCCTAAACCCTAAGTCCTAAACCCTAAACCCTAAGCACGAACCCTAAACCCTAAGCCCTAAGCCCTAAACCCTAAAACCCAAAACCCTAAAGCCAAAGTCCTGAACCCTAAACGGTTTGGGGGTCTCCCCCGAAGCCAAAAGGCGCAACTCTGCCAGCCCCAGGAGCGGAACCTTCGCTTGAACGTGGCTCCTGCGACTCCGACGGTTTAGGGTTTAGGGTTTAGGGTTTAGGGTTTAGGGTTTAGGGTTTAGGTTGCAAACCTACTTGGAGGTTCATGGGTAGTTATACTTGGGGTTAGGGTTTAGGGTTTAGGGTTTAGGGTTTAGGGCTTAGGGTTCATGGGTAGCTATAAGTCAGGTTATATAAGTAGGGTAACTGTAATTATAGCCCATATGAGGGGACTTATAGCTCCGCCTATAACTAGCCATGAACCTCCAAGTAGGTAGTATGAGGTAGAGCCCTAAAGCCCTCTACCCTAAAGCCCTAAACCCCAAAGCCCTAAACCCTAAAGCCCTTAAGCCTTAAAGCCTTAAGCCTCCTAGGTAGTATGAGGTAGGCTCCTTGAAGGGGACCCTTCTTAACCCTGCTGTATGGCTCTCTTAAAAAGAGGGACCTTATTGAGAGGGTCTAGGGTTTAGGGTTTAGGGTTTAGGGTTTAGGGTTTTTCTCCCAAGGGTCCCCCTAATCTTACCTCCCATGTAAACCTGCCCAGCAAAGGGTTGGTTTCCGTGATCTTGGAAGCCAGGCGGCCTAGTTTTCATCTCTCGTCGGAGTCCTTCTGCACTTTATCAAACCTGAACTCCTGAACCCTAAACCCTAAACCCTAATAACCCTAAGCCCTGAACCCTAAGCCCCAAATCCTGAACCCTAATAACCCCAAACCCTGATCGTTGTAACCTTGACATGACAATGCTGAACCCCACAGCAGCAGAGTCAGCAGCCCAGGGCTGTGTCGGAAAATGTTCCCGTTTAGGGTTTAGGTTCCGGCAGTCATATTGGTCTTCGCAAGAATAGTAAATCGTTTTAGGCTTCAACATTAAAATCGCTGTAATCGTTTTGCTACTGTATCACCAGATTCGGTAACTTTTGGAAAAAGCTTAGCAACAGTAGGGTTTAGGGTTTAGGGTTTGAAGTCAGGACCTTCCTACTGGTGACTGTCGTGAGCACTAGTATGCCAGCAGGCCGTAACAAGACCTATCCTGAGCCGTCGGTGGCCAGCCGTAAGCTCTCAACCCCAAAAGGGCTTGAACCCTAGACCCCTAAATCAACCCTTAAACTAAACCCCAAACCCTAAACCCTAAACCCTAAACCCTACACCCTAAACCCCAAACCTTAAACCCTAATCCCCAATCCCAGAACCTACACGGATCTTCTGAGGACTCTGGATCCTTCCTCAGGGTTTGGGGTTCATAGGCCTCCTTCGGCGAAGGCGCGAAGAAGCGAGTCGGAGTCCAGTTGGTCCAGTTCCATTTTCTTCACAACGGCACCCCAAAGGGCACAAGAGCCCCAACCAGCAGCAAAAGGACCACGTACCATACGAACCCGCAGCCTACAGCCTACATGCCCTAAGCTCTACCAAACCGCCCGAAAGCAGAAAGCCCCACAGTGACACCCAAGATCCCTTCATTTCAAGCCTCCGCACTGCCCAGTGAAGCCCCGCCAAACCCTGAACATTACACCGACTAAGTAATTGACCCCGGACCCTGAATCTTAAGACTATAGTTATCGTATAATGGGCCCAAAACCCTATTAAATTATTAAGGCCCCTATACTGTACAGCCTTAAACCGAAATCTCAACCTCGATCCCACATCGCTTCTTCACCCAGCACCCCCTAAACCTCAAACCATGAGCTGCGAAACCTAAAGCCAAGACCCCGACTAAAACGGTTTAGGGTTCAGGGTTTAGGGGTTTAGGGGTTTAGGGGTTTAGGGGTTTAGGGTTTAGGGATCAACCAAGCCGACTTCGAGGTGACCGCCCTTTCCTCAGCGGCAGCGGAGCGTCGGCTCTGGCGAAGAGCGCTGCACTTGCTGGGAGGGCGCGCGGGCCTGCGGTTCTAGAGAGTAATCTTGCAGAGGTTTTAAGGGTTTTTTTTGTGGAGCTTCGGGGTTTCGGGTTTCCAGTCAGTATAGGGTTGAGGATCTGGGGTTTGTGGCTTGGGGTTCGGCGGGGGGTTAATGAGTTTAATGCTTTCATATCATAGGTTTTGGGTCGGTGGTGTGCGCCTTAGTGTTTGGGGCATGCGGGGGTTCGGACCAGAACAGGGCTTCTGAGTTTCGGGTGGGCATTGGGTGGCCAGGAGATAAAACTCGAGTTGAAGATGTACGGTTTTAGGTTAGGCCCGTCATGAGCTCGAACGAGTCGGCGTAAAACCCTTACCCTAAACCCCATACCGCTACAAGGTTCAGGGGGTACCCTCAAAGCAGCACGGCTGTAGGGGCAGCTCGCACCGAAGTCGGAAAGATGTAAAACGCCTTCAACCTCAAACCCTAAACCCTAAATCCTAAATCACCCTAAACCCTAAATCCTAAATCACCCCAAACCCTAAACCCTAATACCTAAAGCCTAAGCCCTAAGTCCTACACCGCCTGACTTGGCCCTGCCCTGCCCAACAGTGCGATG